TTTTTTTTTTTTTTTTTTTTTAAAGAGATGAGGTCTCACTATGTTGCCCAAAATGGACTTAAACTCCTGGATTCAAGTGATTCTCCTGCCTGAGTCTCCTGAGGCAGCTAAATATACTTTTGAATTAGGAAGTACTTTCTAGCATAAGAAGCAGCAAAATAAAAGTATACAGTTATTTTTTGGTTTTATCATTCATTGGAGACCAAGGTTGCATGGAAAAATGAAGCCTTTAATCATGAAACATCTTAAATATTCCTTTACACCTCCCAGTTTTCTTGGAAAACTGTTAAAGGAGCAAAACTAACTTACTTGGTTTTAAATAATTAATCAAAAAGTTAAGCAAATAAATATTTTATGACATTGCTCTGTCTAAAAGTATTTATGGTATTATCTGATCAATATTAAAATCTTCACCATTAATCTAAGTTTAAAAAATTAAGGATTTTTAAGGGAAGGCTTTTGATATTTCATTAAAGAAGACATTTCAATTAGAATTATTTAAAATAATTTATTAAATATCATTGCCTTAGATTAAATATAATTTTCTTAGAAAAAGTTCTAGTCTAAGTGTAGTAGCTGGATAAATCCTGGTAGTCTGATACTATGTTTTTATTTTCTACAGTTGTAGGTCAGGAATAATGTACTGTGTTATTTTGTTTATGTAAGTATATGCAAATTGTTAGACAATTTTAAGTAATAGAATTGATTTTGCTATAGGGACAAAAACCTAAACTGCATTTTCTTTTAGGTCGGTGCTATCTATATCCTCATTTATCTTCCTCATTGAATATTATTAAAGATGCTAAAATACTAGAAAGAATTAATTCATTAAAAAATTTAAAGCACTGTGTTTTGTTTATACTTATAACAGTAATAGAATTAAAGAATTATAGATCAAGAAGGAATAAAATAATTTAAGTTATTAAGTTTTGTTATTTTTTTTAGGAGTAAAAAGTAGTGCTTTAGTGTAACTGGTCTCAGTAGTTTGGGGATACATAGCATTACATAAGGAATTATTAATATAAGGAAGCAGGAACAATTTTCTTTAAGATCAGTGCTAAGTAGAACAGCAATTCTTAATTTGGGGGAGATCTTGGATTTGCTTGTGTATCAGGTGAATGTTATAGAACTTTGCCCGAGAACAATGCATATATACACACATACAGTTTTGCATGCAATTCAGAGGGTTTGTGAACCTCTTGGCATGCCAATGGAGTAATTAACGATGGTGAAGCATAGTAATAGCCTAAACAAATACAGAATTGTAGATGATATTTTGTGATGCTATTAAGATTTTGTTTTAATATCCTTCAAAAATCAAAGGATTTTAGACTTAGAAGTTCATTTAAAATTTAGATCACGGGCCGGGCGCGGTGGCTCACGCCTGTAATCCTAGCACTCTGGGAGGCCGAGGCGGGTGGATCACTCAAGGTCAGGAGTTCGAGACCAGC